GAATAGAAAGCATCAGTTATCATCATGGCACGATCTGTTGCTGTTGATTGGTCTTCTTCGCCGTGTCGTATACTGACAGGTTGTACCTGCAACTGTTTTACCTTCCCTGAGGTCAAATATAACCTCAAGAAAAGTTCATCATGAACTGATCTTTCCTACGAGTTCTCAAATTATCTGCATTTGAGAATCGAGGCACTGGACATACTTAAAATGACTGATAAGTCTTGTCTTATTAGACAGACTATCCTTGACTTAACATAGTTGGCCTGAGCATTCACATACTGAATATCCAGGACTTGACTTTTACATGGCTGAATCATTCTTTATCTGAACCTTGAAAGTTATTCTGAGACAACTAAATGGTCGCCTCGGGATTTGGAACATAACATTTACGAACTTACTTGACTTGATAAGGTGCGACTTCAAGTTTCTAGGTAAAACTGAACTAATAGTCTGTATTACAGACCTCCACTTTAACCCGGCTGAACAACTATTATACGTCGACCTTACATACATGAACATTGCCTTTAAATCGTGAACATTAACTCATAACTTTTTACTATATAGGGCTACTCCAGCAACAACTGGTCCCGCAAGTACAAAGGAATAACTGATCTTACCTTTCCCAACTAAAACTCAAATATCTAACTGATAAGATACCCGACTTAGCTGACTCTAAAGGTTGTTACTTTCTAAAATTGTACTGCTCCGGTCTCAGCTTCAAGCCTCCATGGTATGCCCGGCTTAATGGCTCTTATTTCAAGCCTCCATGGTAACCCGGACTTTTGGCTCTTATACACTGGAAACCGTTACTTTAATAATAACTTGAAAATTTTAACAACCTTTAACATGAAAAATCTTGCCTTGAACTTGATTTACTAATTTGACTTAGAAAATTTGAGTCTATTCCCTGAGTTGAATCAAGGAATTCCTCCCTGGAATATGCCAACTAATTGGCAAAATGGGCAATTTTCGATAGAAAATGCCTAAGGAACCTGATTGCTAAGATTTGTGTAACATAATTGTTAACAAATCACTGAACGAGGCATTAGCTTAATCTGAATAAGTCTAGAATAGAATCTAGGGTCCTCAATCCTAGCCCCTTTCTAGAGTTCTGAAATCGGACTCGAATATCCTTACTGATGACTTTATTGAAGCTGATCAATAAAGAACACAAATTTCCTGACGAATCACTAAACATGACTGGGGAATACTGACATAAAATTCGAGTATACTAACTACTGATCATGAACATGATTCGAGCATCTTAACTATATCAAAACTGAGGAATTTCTGAGCATAGAAATAGTAAATTGTTTATAATTTAAAACTTAATCAGCACTTACCTGGTAGTCGGCGAGGCGTGAGCGTGGTGTGGTCGGGTTTTCTGAAAACTTTCTGACTTACTGAAGTATTCAGATACACAAAAATGTGCTCTGATACCAACTTTAACACCCCGCCTTTCCATAAAAATCAGAGCGCGCTTTTTGCAAATTCTTTTCTTAGTAAAACATGTTCATTTGCGAAATCCTTTTTGGGATGCTACTAAAAATCATTCATTGCTTGAGAAATCCGTTACCTTTATTTAAATTTAACTTTGAAGAATAAACGGATTATTTTAGATCAACTAGCATGTAATACTTTATAAATAAAATTTGTCTGATAAATCAGTTTAAAAATAAAAACTGACATGCTAGTTGAAATATCGTAAAGTGACAGCGGAAGTTATATGTGGCAAAACATAACTGTACAATGGCTACTAGCCATGTCCCAAATAGCTCCGACATCTCACTCCTCCGACCCGACTTCATGACCTGAAAAACATGATAATAGTGGGAGCGTGAGTACTAAAAACACTGTACTCCGCAGAAACTCATACTAAAGTAAACATGAATAATAATATCAATATCATGACTGCAGGTATATATAAGTAAACTGTAATCTCCAGACACAAGGTCTGTAACTGAACTGAACCTCCTCGGACACTATGTCCGTCCATGTGCACATTCCGATGGCCTATTAAGGCTACTGCGCCTCCACCGGAACTCGGGATGGCCTATTAAGGCTACTGCGCCTCCACCTAGAGTGGAATAACTCATATACATACCTTAAAACATGATAGAGCAATTATAACCAATGTAATACCCATTCTGAGTCCCCACCTGAACTGTTGGTTTGAAAATGTAAGTGCTGATCTTCTGGATCCTGAATAAACTGAAAACAATATAAATAATTACTAAATACTATGCTCAGATTGATAAAATAACTTTTTAATATGTTAAGATGCTCTACTGGACTTTAACATGATGTCTTTAATCGGTACAACCGGAACTGGATAAACTCGGAACTGAACTGACATGAATTTACTGAACTGGACTGGACATGAAATTTAACTGAAAACAGGACTGAAATCATGAACCGGGACTCAATATAATAAAATATGAAGAAACCGGTTTGAACTGTTATAAATTAATCTGGCCGGACCGTCGGTCTGCTCGGACCGACCGGTCGGCAACCAACTCGACTATTGGCATGGTCGTATGCACACACCGGGCACGAACTGGGCGCTGCCGGGGCTGCCGGGCGCTGCTGGC